TATATAACTGATTTCAGAGAGTGAAGAAGGGAGAAGGAGAGAGAGAGAGAGACAGAAACATCAATGATGAGAGAGACTCATCAATGGGCTGCCTCCTGCATGCCCCACACTGGGGATTGAGCCTGCAACCTGGGTATGTGCCCTGACCAGGAATTGAACTGTGACCTCCTGGTTTATGGGTTGACACTCAACCACTGAACCACATCAATCGGGCCAAAAGGTGAAATATTTTGAAAGACTTAGTTTGTCTCAAACTGCTTTGGCACTCAATAAGAAAGATGTAATATAGAAACAAACAAGCTAACTCCAAAATGATTATTTTCCAAACACCATTAAGTTAGCTGGGGTGCTAAGAAGTATTAACTGATGTAAGCAATGATTAGTTTGCAATAGCAGAACAGTTTTCAGCATACAGAGTGGAAATTTGTATATCCTAGAAAAAATGTAATTCACCCTCATGTACTTCCCTCTACCCAGTAGAAAATGAGCTCCATTAAGGTGGGATGGGTCTTGTTCTTCTTGGCTCCACAGCACCTGTTAGAGTGTCCAGTACAAAACAGGATCCTCAGAACTATTTGCTATACTGAGCCATTAGAGAAATTAAGGAGTCCATACGTCACTTCTGTATAGCTCACATGTGCAGGGTGTATATCTATATTCTGGGTTTCCACTGTCAAATGGTCAGAGATGGCCCTTTCCCTATTCTCAAAAGCAGGGCTACTTGAACAAGCAGGTGTCCACCATAGTGATTTGCATGATTTCAACTCACATTTATTGAGAGCCTGCCTTGTGCTTAATGCTCTGGCTGAGACAGCATTCCTCATCTAGGAGCTCAGGCCGCTGGGAGTTCTGGAGGCCTGGCCTTGCCAGCGGGACTCTGTGGAGTGAAAAGTGAACTAAGACTTTGATCCAAATCTGAGGGTGTTGACAAAATCAGAGGAGGGTGCAGAGCAGAGCAGGGAGTGGAGGCAAATACCCTACGGAGTGTGAAACTACCCTTATTAAGAAAATGATGTTTCTTTATAAATTGTAAAGCATCATTTCCTTTGAGTATGCTTATATTCATTGAGGATTAATGAGTTAAATTTGTAATTTCCTGCCATTTCTTACTGGCATTCTCTAAATTAGAACATTGTTAACTATAAGGCTTACTTGTGTAAAAAAGATTTTGC